AGCTAGTATGTGTCCAGTGGCTCCCTGCCCACTGGCACTGAGCAAGGATCCTCCTACTCAACTCCTGATCCCACACTTTTGAACTAAACATTTGTACAGATGAGAAAATTCCTGTATAGGGAACTCAGGGAGCAGAAATATCCCGTGTGATTTCTATGTCCAGCCAGAACAAACCAACGTGTATGAATTACAAGAAAGCTTTTCCAGCCCCTCCAGACCACAGATGATATGCAGAAATGACCTTGCAAATACACTTGGAAGCATTTTCTCGGTTCTCTCAGCAATTCACAAGAAAGAAATAAAAGGGAAAATTCATTTATGAAGTTGCTATAGATTATTTGCTGAGTTGGAGCTGACAAGTTTCTTATTGCTTTCTGCTATTTGCAGGCACCAACTTTGTGTAGAACAAGCCCAGCACTACAAACTGTCAGGGCATGGCTAATCTTTTCCTTCCTAGGGTGGGACACCCTTCTCTGCCACACTTAATCTGAATAAAGTGGGGTAAACATCACAAATTCATTGTACTCCAAAGACCCCATCCCTGGGGTCGCTCCATTCACCAAACAAACAGAGACTGAAGAAAGGTTCTGACAAGCAAAACAGCATCAACACTACAAACATCCCACGGTCCTACTCCTTCATCCATCTAAATGGATTCCTCTGTCCACGTGGCTTCTCCTGAATTCCCTGTGTCTTTCTGGGACCAAGGGATGCTCCTGGATGAGCAGCTGTGACAAGACTAAAGCTGAAAGAAAAGCTGTCCACTTTCATACTCTGCCACACAAAATACCAGTATTTCTTCTGAGCAGGCAGAGCTTCCTCCTGCTCCACTGGATTCAGGGAACAGACAACGGCCAAAGATTTTAATTGGCATCACTACTACCTCATGTCTAAGATCTGCTGAAAGGCCATTTTTCAGCAAAGCAATTGTATTAAGACTCAGATTGGCTAGAAATGTCAATGGAATGATAGAAAACACAATTTGCAGCCTAGAAGAAATAGATTTAGTGTATACGAGCAGAATAAACTATAATATTTTGAGCATCTGTAACACTGAGACCTGCTGGCATCCCAGGCAAATGTAAATGCCACTCAGTAACTCTGAATGCCTTGTATTGACTTGGTATTGCTGAGCTGTGGTTTGCCATCAGGGGGAAGGAAGAACTGTGGCTGGAGAAAGGATGCTGATGGTCAGTTTGGAAGAAATGCCCACAAACCATGGGTCTGGGGGAGGCAGGGCTATCCAGGAGCATGGAAGGGTGGATAATCCTTTCAGAGACACCAAAGGGCTCAGTTACAATGTCTTTTTTTCCTCGGATCAATCTCAACCATCAGATAACCGTAGCTGGGCCTGGCTCATGCCAAAGACTCCCATCATATGATTGTCCATATTAATAAACTGCTGCCTATGTTCCACCAATTGTGTCTTGGCTACCTGTCTCCTGGAGTTGCTTCCAACAAAACAGGTGAGTCCCAGCAGCAGTATGGGATGCTGGGAGAGGTGAACTCAGATCTAGGTAAGAAAAGCCAGAACTCCTAATGCAGTTGGGAGGTCAGTATTAATGTTTACACACAGGGGTGCTCTGCCCTATGCACAGAAAGCCTGTGAGCTTTGCATGTATTAATCAGATCTAGAGAGAGAACAACAACAAAAACTGCTTCTGTCTGCAAACACAGTTCACGTGAAATCAGGGGGACAGATGAGCATGGCTGTGTCTAAAGGCAAAGCAGGAATAAGTCTGGAAACCCTTGTCAATAAAGACACAAAGCTGTTATCACATCAGTCCAGTGAAGCATCTGCATGTATGTTTTATACTGACAATTCCCCACATCACCTGCCAAGAATAAAAACAACATCAAACCAAGAATGTCAAAGTCTTAAGAAAACACCAGGCCCAGCACACTGAGCTGTGACAAACTCACATGGCAGCAACAGCCAAGGCTGGTTCAGGGGCTAAAGCTTCACAGTGCTGGTAGCCTTTAGGTTGTCTTGGGTTGGCTGTGGAGTGAAACTGCTCGTTGTGAGATGGAGTCACCTTTCTGTGTCCTAGGACCACCTTTACTGAGAAAAAACATGTGTCTGTCTGAGACTCAAAGGTGAACCTTAAGTACATTGCCTCCAACAGCAATGTGATGAACTTAAAACTCTCATGGGGATAGAAGGGACTCCAAATCTCTTTCATTCCCTTATTTATTTTTTTTTTCAAGGAAAAAGAAGTCAATGCATCTCAGCCATTTGGAAATACTCCAATCACTTTCCAAATGTCCGCAGACCATCAGTTCAATTCAGAAGCATTTTGAAGTGTAGCTAACTCATCTAATGGAAGCTAATTCCTCTCTGCATCTTTCCCTTCTCACCTTCTGAGCAAGGTGAGACCCAATCAAGATGAACTGTAGCTGCCCAGAGGAGTTCAGTGCAGGGGTATGGCAGTTGGAGGTCCCTGTTAGCTGAATTCCCAAGGAATGGAAGGTTTGTGATATTCAAGTCATAATTCAAGTGATGGCCTTTTTGGGCCCATCCTACATCCAAGATGTGCTGGGCAAAGTCAGAAAAATGGATGATTTCTGTATGTATAAAAAGAAGGTTGTGTAAATGCATCATCTTTTTAACAAGGGTGCAAAGAAACTGATTCTAGTGTCATCTGCACCAATTTTAGATTGGGGTCCCCTTCTGATTCCACCAGGGCTATGCCAAGGTGGGATCTGTGCAAGGGAAAGGAAACCCCAACCTGAAATCATGCAAGGCCATTGGGCAATCCCAGAGAGACTGGGATTCTCAAGTAGTTTATTTTTACAAACATCCCATTCCTTAGCAGACAGCCACACAGGGAACACAGTGCTTGGAAATGTCAAAATAACATTTCTGAAGAGACTGAGGTCTCAACAAACCCCTGAATTTCAATGCCCATGAATATGGGGAAAAAAATTCCAGCATTCCATTCTAACTCCATCCTTGCTCTTAAGTTTCCTGCATTGTTAAGGCAGTTGAGGGATGGAAGCAAAGTGCTGACAGGCAAAGGCCCATACTTGCAATTTGGGAAGCAGGAGGATGTGTGACTCTTTTAATTTGTTATTCTATAACAAACATTGGGTTGCAGGAAAAACTAGCTTGTGGTTTTGAAATCAGAAAAAAACCAAAATGCCTGCTGGGATGGATGAAGCTTTTGGTCTGTGTATTTTCTTAAAACTAAAAAGCTCTGTTCTTAAATCTATACCAAAGCACTGGCAGCAAAGCCCTTCGCAATGCAGGCATTGGATACAACCTTGGGAAAAAAAAAGAGTGGGATGAGGAGAAAGCTTTTCAAAAGTTGCATTATCAAAAGAAATAAAATAACAATCACGTAGGAATTTCAAGTTACAGCTTAAAAATAATGTAAGTAACCCCATCCAACTGCATCTCCCATATATACTAAGAGAAGAGATCAAATGAAAAAAAAAGAAAACAAAAATAAAAACTAAAACATTCTGTGCCCTGGAATCCTGCTTCTATAACTCTGGTCAAGGGGGACTTTTGACTGCACCGACAAACCACAGCTTGTGAACACTGGGAGTTTGTTTTGCATCATGTCAGCATGCTATTGTCCTTCACCTTGGACTTTCAGAGGGGAAAATAATGAAACTGTGAAAGGGGTTATGGAATTTCAAGCAATCAGGCTTTTAGAAAGGTTCTATTCTGTGACATTTGTGTTTGAGTCTGAATGTGTGTGTATAGTATAAAATTATGAGCTAACATTTGAAAAGATAGCAGTCTAAGTAATAAATCTGCAGAACGAAGAGAACTGTACAGAATGATTTCAAAGGCTTATACTTGACAATTACATATATTCTATGAGACAGTTATGCACCCTGTGCCTTTTGTAAATTCATTGTTTTATGGATGCAGTATCTCTATTTTAGCAGACAGGATACACTAAACCAATCTAATGATCTAAAAAGCATCATTTACCACCCAGCGTAACAATGGCACTGCATAGCTTAATAACCTTTTTTTTCCTTAAACTCCTTCATCAATCAAGTGATTCTTAACATGGCTGAAACCCAAGAATCAAATATCTGCAGTTACAATATTTGTGGAGTATTTGGCACAGTGGAGTTTATTTGATACACCCTTTTTTCCTGCCCTTATTGTTGCTGAACATATAATGCTGTGCATAAATTACAAAGACACATGTAAAGTCAGTCAAATGGAAGCAGTTTGATACCCCACACCCATGTTGCAATGCCTAGATAAAAGTAAAGTCTGCTAAAAAGGTGTTGAACATGAGTGGCAAGTTATCAACCCTCTGTAATTGTGCCAACTCTAGGGTGTCCATTGCCAGCAATGGACAAGGACTCGGGGAAGATCAGCCCCTCCAACAGGAAGTGACATCCAGCATTTGACTCAACATGCCAGGTTTCTAAACATCCTCAAGTTCACAACAGCTTCAAAACTCAAACAAAAAAAGGAGCTTCTTGTTATGATGCTAACCCTTAAAACCCTTCTGACATTTAGTCCATTAGAAATGGGTCTGGTTCCTGGGGAAAGATTCATCAAACACCACCAATTTATATTCCTTCCCAGCAGGAATGTTTTGGAAAACAAAAATATGCATACAAAATAAGTCTGACCCCTATGCTTCTTGTAATCAGATGAAAGCTCCCCCATGATTTTTTCAGGCTTAGGTAAGACTGCATTGCAAGAGCAAAGCTGAATCTGCTCCTGCATGGATGCTTCCCGGGGAGCTGAATGAAAGTTTGAGTTGCTCAATGCTGGCCAGCCTCTGCTCCCATAACCCAGCCTTCCAGAGGAACACTATTTCCACATCTAAGGGCAAAACGTGGCATCCAGGAGGGGAGGCTACTCCATCTTCCTCACACGGCTTCCACTGAAATCAGTGGAATTTCTCAGGTGAAGAATAAAATACCAGTTGTGAGGGTTGAAGGATTAAGGTCAGTATTCCTCTCATCTTGTACACGTACACACACGCACACACACTTTAAAGAAAACATCCACCACACAATTTCTAGATTGCAAATTATATATATATATATCTTTAAAAACCGGAGAGAACATAAACAGCCTCTCCACATATATATGTATTCACTGAGTCACATAGAATATGAAAAAAACTATATTATGTAAATCATCATATTAGCTATAATTTTCCAACTGACAATTGTTTTTATAGAGACACAGTGCATTCGTTCTCTTTTTTAAAAACATATTATGTGTCTTCATTGGCTTGGTAGCATATTAGAATGAAGGCGTATGAATAAAAAACGCAGAGGATTAAACAAACCCCTTGAGTCACATTATGTTTGGGTGAATTAAACAGGATCCTTCCCCAAACTAGCATAAATAAATCCCCCCTATGGAAAAGTGACAGCGATTTAAGGGTTAACATAGATCTGAAAATAATTTTAAAAAAACATCTTATTAGAGGACTACACAGATAAGTATTTGGAACTCGTCCCCCTTTAAAAATGACAGCACGTTTGGCAAGTGTGAGCAAATGTCTTGAACTCTACTGGGTTTGAGATCTGAGCGCAGTTATTCACAGACAGCCACAGAGCTGCAATCTGCGAATAAGCCTGGGCTGGAAGGACTTGGATACCCCTGACAGCATTGCTCGCCACCGGGAAGGTTTCCAGCAGCTTTCAAGGTATTTATCGTGGACTCGTGGCTGGTGACAGAGTGTGACTGGTGGAACGACTCCAGCATTGCTCCCTCTTTGCCACTGCAGAGCACAGCAGGTTTGAGCAGCAGCACCCAGACTGGCCAACCCTTCAGCCCGTGCTGTGGGTGCTCCACACACCCCCCAGGACCCCGTTTGCAACCGCAAACACCTATTGCCATTATCACCTCGCTTTCTCTACGCCTCATGCCCAAGCCTGCCCGTGTGCTGAGCTCTCCAATGAACCTCTGCAGATGCCCTCCTTGGGAGCTCGTACTGTCATCAAGGGGGCTGGAACCCAGCCACAAATGGCTCCCTGCTTTCTCCATCACCCTGCAGGATGTCACAAGTGATCCCATTAGAAGATGCTGTTCTCAAGAATCATGGCTGGGTCTGACTTTGAGGAAAAGACAAAAGTTTCCTGTGTTGCCGTTGTTGTTTCGCAGTTGTGTATCTTCATTCGTGCTCTCTCCTTGTTTTTATTAAAAAGGACCCTTGTATTATTAATATAGTTCACTCCTCCACAGTCACTATAAAACAGACTCCATGTTTTCACACCACTCATGATCTTCAAGGTTATAGATAAATTTTGTCCTATGTGGCTGACTTTGGGGCACCGAGTCCCGCCCCAGATTGTCTAGGGTGAGAGTAGAGGCAAAAAACTCACTAGTGCTGAGACCACCTTCGTGGTTCTTGATGTATCTTTTATAGTTTTTCCTCAAGCACTGCCAGGTGGTTGTGTATAAGATGAATGCAAAAGACTTCAGGGCTATAGCAATACTAACATACAGGTATCTATAGACCACGTTGTCGTACAGGGCGCAGGCTCCTTGCTCGCCGCAGAACGTGCTCCAGAACAGACACGTGGAGTCAATTCCAGCCCCAAAGATCAGCGGAGGTGGGATAAAACCTGTCAAAATAAGAGAGACAAATTATGCTTTTATGATCCTTATGATAGAGAGAGAGGACGTGACTGCAGTGAATGGAAAGAGGGCACTTTATCAAGGTTAATGGTCCCAGCTGCAGCCTGTGATTTTAATTTTTAAAGTTCTAAATCAACCTAAACCACGTCTGTGGATGAGATTTTAGCTTGGACTCAATGTCTACGGAAGAATTCCTGCTGATATCAACATGCAGCAAGGATTTTACTCAAGTTTAAGTGGCTTTTATTAAGCTTCTCGTTTGCCTAATGAGACTGAGGAGGGGTAAATGAAAGAGGAGGAGGACAGCCTTGCAACTATGCCCTCTGTTTAGATACTGGCAATTCTGCACTTTAGGGTGTTCACCTGTAGGATGTCACAGCTCTCCAGTTCAGAGCCTGAAATCGGCTGGGACACAGAGTTTTGGACCTTTCCCTGATACAGGGAGAGGTTTTCTCTGGGTCTAAGGAAAAGAAACAATGACCTCTGAAAGATGTCAAAGATGTATTCTGCAATGAAGGGAAAATTTCAGAGTGCCATTAAATGAAATATCACAGCAGGATTCTCCCACAGCCACTGCAGCTAACTACCAATGAGTGTTTCTCAATCATAGCTTGCAGCAGAGCTGCAATCTTAAAGCAAAGTAATCACTCCAATCTCATTTAACTAATAAAGTCAATGTTTTTCTTCTCTATTTTTCCCCATCCTACCGGGACACTGTAGCAGCCCCCCCATTTCACATTACCCTGATGGTGATTAGGACATCCACGTTCCAGCTCTGCACTCCCCAGCCAGCACATGTGCACCAGGAGTGCAGCACTCAGAAGAAAATGTGAATGTTCTACATAATGTAACCATTTCTCTTCCTTCTGCTGTATTTATGGGGGGAGGCTGGAAGCAGATAACCCTTGGAAAAAGACCCTGATTGATAAAGCCACTGCTGTGGGTTAAGACAGCAAGCAAAGGAGAGCAACGTATCTACTGAAATCCAACAGCACGTAGGCACAACATACCCCTGATGGTATCACTTCCTCCATAGGTGCTGTGATGCCTGAGACTCTATAAATATATATGAAAACAGACAGAGGGATTGCAGTTTTTAGACAGGAAAGTGTTTAATCTCAGATCCAGTTTCATCATTAACCTGGATTTCCAGGCTTAAAAAAGATACTTTCCTTCAGCTTGTCATGAGCAAAGTAGTGACATTCATGATGTGTATCCTAAGACTACAAATAAATTGGTTGTCTTCACTGTTCCTGTGGTAACTAGGATCTCTTTATTTTATTTTGTTGATGACTAGAGCTCTGCAGATTTTGTTTGATCTTCCTTCTATGTTAATAAATGCAGGAATTAAGAAAGGCTATATGGGCTTTTCGTACTTATTTTAACCAGTCATTAATAGCACAAATGTAGTAAATAAAACCAGATGATACGAAAGCAAGACAATCTGTTTGTTAGAAACACTAGTTTCTAAACATCACATCTAAAAACCTGGTTATGTTCTGGAAAAAAATGTCAGTGCTAGCTCTCAGTTTGTCATTTCAATGACTGGAAATTCCAGACATTTTAAGTTAAAAGACTCTTATTGTTGAAACCTGTGAACAACCACACACTGAACCTGGATTTTAAAAATTCAGCTGGGCTCCTGCCACAGAAAAGCAAGAGGATGTGCTGCTGACTGTGTGCCTACTGCTGCTGGATGGCACCTCAGGGGGTAACATTCACATGTGGCAGTGAGGAGCCTCATGCTTTCTGGAACAAGAGAAAACTGGATTGGGATCAAAATTTTAAGGTGTGAGCCCCTGCTTGTTAACATGTTGAGAGATGTTGATACAAAGCTTTGGAGATGTACAGGCTGAACTTCAGAGAGAGCTACCATCCCCATCTGCTGGCTTCAGCTGGCTTGCCTGCTTTCCACAATAATTTGGCCTGGAAATTGCTCCTCATAAGACTTGAGGAAGGGCCTGTTTTCACTTAACTCCAAAGCTACTCCTCTGTGAATGCAGGCATGGATGTGGATATGGAAAACTTTTATCAACCAGTGAGTGTTTCGGGTTGTTTTTAGCAGAGGAGAGGACAAGACTCCCTGAGACAAGGGAGTTGAGGGGTTGCACCACAGATTGGAAACTCCTGAGAGAGAAAGACTGTGGGGTTTTGTCATGTTAGAAGAAGAAGCAAACAACAACATGGGCTTGTAGGAAAAAATCAAAGGAAGTGCCCTGGAGGCTTGGCTAGGATGCATGGTGAACACCATCCAGAAAGGATGCATCCAGGATCTTACAAGTCTGAAACTCTTTGCCATTCCAGACAATTCCATTCCACACCTTTGGCTCCAATGGCATTGCTTTACTCTCTTCTCTGAGAAACTGCAGTAACACTTTTATATGAAGACACTGTTCCGCTGCCCTCTCACAGCAGAATTCCTATGAAATAAGATAACACATGCAGGAGGATACCAGGAGTATTCAATCACGTTTCATGTTATTACAGTGAATATTAAAGAGAGTCAATCATGTCTTACCTCTTACTGCAAAGTGTTGCAAAAATTTCATATATATACATATATATGTCTTTGTTGAAACTGTAGGGCTGCATAAAAAAGCTGCTTCTGTCTTATTGAAATCTATTAGCTATGATGGCACCTTTGGGTCTCATACCTCCTGTATTTAATACTCTCCTTTGGTTCAAGAAACAGCTATCATCACTGTCTTCTTAAGTCAAAGCTTAAAGGTGAACTGAAAAGCTTTTAAAATAAATCAGTAAAGCTATTCTCAAACCCCAGGTTGTTAAGGGCACAATTTGGATACCCTTGCTCATATTGAAAAGTACCTTTCTCTTCATTTTCTGTGTGTTCTAAGCTACATTGCTGCTATGCTTCAAGATGTATTGTCTTATTACACAGGAATCTCTTAGTGACAGAGCAACATATAAAGATTTGAGTTTAAATTTTTACTATGGCTTCTTTACTGTTACGAAAAGAAGAAATCTGTCCAACTTAAGCATATATGCCTGAGCCTGGTTTTAGAGGAATTCAGGATGCTGCTATCTCAGGAGGCTTCTCTCTTTCAAAAGGAGCAAAGAAAAGAGAATAATCTCTCCCCTTAAGTACTTTTTCCTTTGGAAACAACAGTCCACAGCCATCCTCCTCCCACACTTGCCTGCTGACTCTCCACATTCAGCCAGTCAGAGCTGAAGACAGGTCAAAACCCACGAGCAGCACCAGCAGCTAAAGAAAATGCTGTGTTTGCAAGGCTTGAACCAGAGCTGACCCAAGTCATCCCAGAAGCTTCCCTTTGAGTTATCTGAGCTCTGGATAAGTTTACTTGATGGAGCTTTTTGTATTACTGCAGCTACTTCACCAAACACAATGAAAATCTAACTAGCTTTACTGTAAGTTGGTCTGGGAGCACCATTTCCCTTTCAGCTAATGGGGAATAAGGTATTAAAAAAATAAGTAAATAAATGAGGTAATTTATTCAAAGCAATGTATGGTACTGCTGGATTTTCTGTCCTGTACTTTCCAGTGTCTTGCTGTAGCCTCAGTGATGGCACTGGGGGAGTCATGCAGGGAAGGTGCTGCCAGTGCCCTGCTAAAAAAAAGTAAATTGCACTCCCACAACATGCAGAAACCCTGGGCATGAGATGGTCCCATACAATGATGGATCAGAGGATTTTGTCCTGAATCACTAAGATTAATGAGTTGAAACAGAAGAGCTTTAAAATAGGAGCCGCCTCTTCCAAAGGGGAAAAAAATTCCACCCAGAAACAAACAGCAGGCAAACAACAGCCTGGTGTGTTCCTTTTAATTCATACATGAGAAGCACATACTGGTCCAGAGGAGCAGCCATATGCATTTTAATGGGATATTAACCCACAGGAGGATACAAGGACTCAGCCTGTCTCATTTTTCTGTTTTCCTTTCCGAGAGACCTGAAGGAAGGGACAAAACCACCATGTAACGCAGGTCCTGTCCCTCAAAGGAGGGTGAAAATACATATCCCTCTACTTCAGCAATATGCAATACAGCAGTAATTTTGCAAGCTGTTGACACGTTAATAACAGCTATAGAAGAGAAACTGTTTGTGTGGGACCATGGGAGAAACAGTCATTTCTCATGCAACACTGCATTTTCTTCCATTAGTACAATACAAATGGCAGGAAAAGTGCCTTCAGGAGCCTTGATGTGATATCCTTCATGGAGAGGGCTTGGATCCCTGTGTGTCAGACCACACTGATGACAACCATAGTACTACATGGAAGAGAAATCAACTTCTGCATGTTAAAAATAGAGTTTACCATGAGGGAAGAAAGGACAGGAGAGAAGGACATCCAATTTTTGTACCTACCCAGCAACCGGAGCAGTAGGAAAAGCACCCCCAGAGCGTAAGATTTGAGTTCAGGGCTCACGGTTCTGCAGGGAGGAAGGAGGGAGAGAGTGAAATCAATTCCTGTTGTTCTGCTTTGATTAACACACCCCCTGGCCATTCTGTGCTGTCAGCCAGGATGCCACCACCACCTTTTCAAAAAGTCATTAATGGGGTTTTTCTTCTGCCTTCGCCTGAACTGCCTACAGCCCCAAAAGTAATTGCCTATGTGATAGGTCCAGGAATTAGCTAAGTCATTAATAACAGCGGCTAATCTTGTCATTGGATGGGGAAAAATGTAATTCCCATCCCATTAAATCATTGTTTACAAGCTCCCCATCATGTTTTCAAGGCTCCAGATGTTCAAAATTGGAGGGAAAGAAAACTTTTGGTTCTGAAACTCCCCGGACTACTGGGAACAAGAGAGGAAAGGGAGCATGACAGACCAAAAGGTTTAGTCAGCCTGTTAATTCAAGTCTTCCAGTGAGGAAGTCCTCAGGACTAGTTTTCACAGGTGTGAGTTTAGCATGCAATTTTTTTATACTGGGAAGACAGTGTTTGCAGTGTCTTTTGCTATGAACACAACCCCCTATTGTATTAGGGTTATCCTTCAAAGGCACTTTAAAAAAAAAACATTCACAGCTTTCTAATTCGCTCAGCTCAAGGATGCTACTGGCATCATCCTCTTGGGGTAGGCTCAGCAAAGCCTATGGAACTTTACAAGCCATTAATTTGGTCTTGAGTCTTATAACAGCATTTTATTTCCTACAGAATATAAAGGCTGGGAAAGCAGGACAGTGATCCCCATGGGAACAGATTCATCACACAGGGGAACTTCAAAGATTTAAGTTGCTTTTTCCTTTAGCTCCTTACAGAGGTCTGCAGGCATCACTGCTAGTGGCATCCATGGTGGCAGACGTGGTCCTCTATATAAATACACTGTGGGGGCATCAGACAAAACTGATAAAACAATTAGAATCAGAGAGTGCTTTTAAGTTAAGATCACCCTTCTGATCACCTGCCCTCCTTTCACACGTTCACAGGCCATGTAACACCATACCATGACTCCTGCATGAAGCCTGTGACCTCTGAATGAATTTCAGCAGTTTTCAGGCAGGTCCTCAGGCTCTATAGAAAGCCTTTATGCTAGGAAATATCTGACCTTGGAAAAATGTTCCAGTGGTTAATGGCTTGGCTCTACAGTTGGGTGGGAAATGAAGGAAATGGAGTATTAAAAGTTTATTTTATGGAAAAAATAAATTATCGTGTGAAATATTCAGAGTGGGTTTTTAACTGGTGGTGGTGTCCTTCCATCCACTTTTCTGTATTTAATACCAAAGTCAACCCACATACCTTAGAGTGGAATAAAAGGTGCCACTTGGGGACATCTCCTTTTCTCACTGAACAAATGACTTGCCTAGACAAGACATCCACTTTGTACACACTGAGCTCATTTTTAAATAATCATAGGAGCTGCCAATGCCACTTGTCCTGCCCTGGACACCAGGGACACACATATACATCAAAACTTCCTTTAGGCGATGCAAGAGGTGCTCTCTTGGCTAAGAGCTCTTCCCTGTACATTTTGGTAGCTATCAGTGATTCTGAGTGAAGTGACCAATCTGGATGTGTGAATTGTTTATTTCCTACAGCTGTGAACTGAGTATGTTTAACATTCCCTTCGGTTTTCTTATTCCCTTGTATTCTTCTTCCCGGCTAGTGCCAGACTTATCTCATTTGAAGGCAACACTAAGATGTCTCCATGCAGGATCCTAAAGGTGCTGGCAGCTTCCTTGAACAAAGAACTCCTCAAACTTCAAATTACTTTTGCCACAATATTTATCATGAGAAATTTGATTTCCCTTCAGCTACCAGAGATGCAAAGAAAGAAGTGAACTAGTAGGTGGAATATCTCATTTTGTATCCTGCAGGGAGACATGCCCTCACAGAGCTGTTCTGCCCAAAATCCACTCAAGAGTGTGTTTCTAATACAGACCTTATTGATTGAATTTTATTGGAATTTTCCAGGCAGCAAAATGGATCTGCTATTTATGCCCCTGGTTATTATTCTCAGTAAGTGACAGCCTGGACAGCTAAGTAATTCTGGATAAATGTGGGCTTAGATATATATGTATATCATAAGGTGAAGTGTTCCATGTGTCTGGAAATAACACAAGGTCAGTTATTTGAGTAAGCTACTTTTGTCTACCTATTCACACTGGCTTAACTCAAGACATGTCCTTCAGACTTCCAAGTTCTTTGTGTCCTTGGACTTGGTCCAGGGTGAGAGAAGTTAAAACTCTGGACAGGTGGGTATTGACCAAAGCTAGCCTTTGCCACAGCTTTTCACTTTTCCGTGTTTTCTATGGTGTCCAGGCCCTATGGGACCCTCAGCTCCGTGCAGCTCCCAGTGGTTCCCATGGCCCCTCCAGCCCTGCTCCCACCCCCTGAGTAGCCCCTCCGGGATCACTGTGGGAACCCTCCGGGTTCCCCGGCCGTGGTCCTACCTGATGAGGATGATGACTGACGGCGTCTGCGCCATGGCCCCGATCATGCTGCAAACACACATCACGCAGAGGAATGTCAGGAAGGCCTCTTCGCAGCCGGGGCTGGGGCATTTGCCAGGAACCACGGTGGCATTTTCGGCAGGGACCGAGGTGAGGCACGAACAGCCACTGAGGTTCTGCAAAGGAGCACAAGGAGTCAGGAGAAAGGAGAGCTGTGATCCCCACCACTGACCTCTGTAATGAGGGCTTGTCAACAGCAACTCCTAATCCTCTAATGTTCAATTAAGTAACTCCTAAGTGCTTGTTTGGAGGGGGTTTGGAAAGAATTTCAGGAGCGCCAGCTCTGACGCATGTTACCAGCAAGGGAAAGCTGTCCCTTGGCTTGTTTCTTTTTTTCTGCTCCTTTCAAGTCTCTCCCATAAATGTCACTGCAACAAAATTATTACCAAGTTATACCTCTTTGGAGGGGAATAAAGAAACAATCTGTGTCTCTGCGACAAGGAAGATCCCCCAATTATGGTTCTAATTACTTGCTTATTTACTTCCGTCCTCTTGGCTGTTGCAATTAAACTGAAGTACATTAAAAGCAGGTAAATCTGCAGCCCTGTTCTTGGCTGCAGGTTCAGTGGCTGCTTCCAGCACCCTGAATCCTGGGAAGGAGCCATCCAGGATGGGTGTTGCAGCTCGACGGCTGAACTACCACCACTTGGCAGCACAGACGCTGCTGGACTTTAAAGCACTCCAAGGCTAATAAGTGACATCTGGTTCAGAGGGATTTGTGCTGAGCTAAGAGCTGAAGTCAAGCGAGATAAACTTTATCAATATGTGATCAGAAGGAGGGTGGAATGACTGCATTTTGCTTTGATCTCTCCGGCAAGTGCAGGATGTGAAAAGAAGCTTTGTTTGCCAGTCACAGATTTAAGGATTTACTTTTTTTTCCTTATTTTCCAACTCGCCCTCCTGAATTTCTGAGTGGGGGATGGCAGTGCAATTAAGGCGCACAATACCACCAAGAAATCCCTTAACGAATACAGAATGAAACGGTCATAAATGATTCATGGCTTGTCTTCATCAGCCCGCTGGGTTTGCAGGTCACATGCTTGTATGAGGAGTAACACCATAAAATAAAACATATTGAAAACCAGCTACATCTCCTCCCCTTTCCCTCTACCATGTTTGAGCAGAAATTCCTTTGCTTTTCCGCAAAGGGCGTCCCCTTAGGACCATACAAAAGCACACTTACTGGTTCACTGCCTCCAAAGATAAGGATCAGCAAGGATACTATTCCAACCTTTCTGACACCAATCTCTTTCTTCTGCATAGGAGTCAAATGATTTTCTTCCAACTAAGCGCATAGAGGGCAAGAGAGACTGCTGTGCAGAACTCCAGGAGAGCTGGAGCAGACACGCAGTGCCTTTCCGGCTGGCAAGCAGTAATTAACATAACAAATTATTGTGCTGTGAGTTAGAAGCTGACACTCGAAGGCTTCAGAATGGTGACAATTAGCACCACTGATGTGGTGTTTGCACAGACAACAGGAATTTGTAGATCCTGGCACTTACTGCAGTGCATTGCTAGCAACCAGCTGGACACAGCACCGTGGATCAAAGCCCATCTAAGTCTAGAAAAGTATATACCTGCACTGAAAACTCCTCGGATGAAATTCCCATCACAGCAAACATGCAGAACTGGGTGCTTATTTTCCATGGGTTCTTATCAAGGGACAGATGTGCCCCACCTGTTTCTGACAATGGTGGGGCAGATTCTCCTCCTATTGGTGTGATTTTTTACAAACCACAAGGCAGATCCCCACCTGCATTGCCTGAAAATTTGCCTCTCGATTCACTTTTTCAACCATTTTGCATCAAAGTTCTGGCCCGAAGCAGTGCCAGTAGTCTGAACCAACTACATCTGCTTCCTTAGCACTGCACCTCATTCTTACCTGGGAGATCTTTGATCTTTTATTACTCACACACTATACAACTCACAGACATCAAACAAGGAAACATCAAAGATGGAGTTATAACTTTGTCCTGTGGAGAGGCGACTTTTTGCTACCTGTGCCAAAATTGATATAGATTCCCTTGTCTGCAACCCCACTGCATTCAACCACATATTATCACAACCCTCTGCTGCCCAGCAGCTTGCACACCCAGATTTCTGTGTGCGTGTGAGGCTATACAGATGCAGAGTTTACACCTTTAACAGCAGGCTGAGTTTGGTGTGATTATCAATGCAAATTACATGTTTTTAATTACTCATTCCTTAAGCCCTGGCTCTGACAGGGAAGGGACAGGCTGGTACTTCAGTGCAAAGCTGTGAGATGCCAGCACAGTAATGCCAGGCTGGAATTCGTGTGTCTCCAACCAAAAGGCTGAGAGAATCAATGGCATCAAACAAGCAAGACACAAGCATCACTTCCAAGAATGGCTTGAAAGAAACACTCCTGAGGTTGCAAGAGCTCTGCCTATCAGCACCGATATTCCTGTGGCTTTTTAGACAGGTGCACCTCTGGAACCAGCTCAGTAAGAGAGAAGAAATGAAAAAGAAAAAACTAACTGAGCTACATATCGCTTTTAGAAATTGTTCACAGAGGAAAAGTGGAGCGAGGCAGTCAGAAACATCCAGTGTAGTAAAGTTAAATAAAGCATTCAGAGAATTTTATGTCCCAGTAAAAAGCAACCCTTGGCTCATCTCAAGCATATAACATTCACAAGACCCTCTAGACAGGTCATTACCTGGATTATGGGTTTAAAACTTGGTTTGGCAGTTTGGCTTTGCCTCAAGGCCATTGCGTGGCCAAACTGGTCCATAATTTTTGATAATGCCCTTTCCAGAGGATGCTATATTGCTTCACTAATTTGTGTTCAAAACGTTACTGCAAAAAAACCCACAAAACAAAGTGATGAAAAGAACTCCAGGATGATGACGAAAAGGCAAAATAAGAAGGAATGAGTAAGAGAGAGGGTGAGGATCAGTGAGTTTTTTGCTGAGAGGTTTTCTCTTGCAGAACATGAGGTCAGGCAGCTGCAGACTGAAAGGGCAGAGCTGAATTTTTATTACCATACTCCTTCCAGAGGAGCCAGAGCTTTGACCTGAACTGCACAGTGGGGAGGTCACTCCCACACTCCAGCCACGGACCACACCAGCTGTATTCTTGCTAAAGGCTTGGTGAACTGGTGAGACACAATTCTGTGTGTCTGAAACAAGCTGGTGTCTTGTTAAAATCACCCTGCTGCCGCCCCAGGTGTTGACCTGTTGGGAGGAGGAGGAAGAAGAGGGCAGGAGGTAACACCTTCACATGTGCCACACACTCATGGAGATCCTTGTGGGGTTTTGAAAGCAACTTGAAACTGTGGTATTTTAAAGGGATGCCTGCGTCTCTGGGCTGTGAGGCTGCACTGCCAGCAGTGAGTGTGCACCTCTGCTCAGTGGTACTGGCATGTGCTTTGTCTCTTTGGGGCAGGAAGGGAGGTCTGATGCCTCCTCAAAAAGTAAGGATGAAGCCATGGAGGGATAATTGCATGTGGTGATCACTAATGTCCCTGCAGCCACAAACAGTCCCTGTGACCAGGCTGACTGACCTCCAACAGACTCCACACAGGCAGTGAGGCAGCAATCACCATGCCTGGCATGGCCCCAGGCAGGGAGCAAGGATGCAGGAATCCCACCAGTCCCCACCCCCGGGAGCAGCAGGGACTCATTTTCAGCATAACCCAGAAGACATTAATATTTCAGCAGCAAAAATGAAAAAGCTGGCTTTTAAGATATTGTTAAAAATTCCCCACATCTTTTTATACAGAGATGGTTTGGTCTTCAAGAGTTTTCTAAGGGAAATAAACTCTTAGATATAGAGAACTGAAAAATACAGAATGCCTTTGGATGGAGTCTCTGCTCCCCTGACAACTGCTCTTGCTGCTGCCTCAGAGCAAAGCAAGGAAAGAGAGAGGAAAGAAAGGAAAGCTTAAAAAAGGGTGAATAAAACCATAATCTGCTCGTAGGTGTCTAGGAACCAGATTCAGGGAAAGAGCAAGAGGAAAAAGAATAAAAGTGTTGGGCAGGGCAAACATAGGCAGGTGGAGAAGAGGGGAGATGAGGAGCTGCAGGACAAAAGAGAAGCTGGTCCCACAGCCTGGGCCAGGAAGCTCTCACAGAGGATCTGGGTTCTGCCACTGGACAACCGCACAGATCTTCATGTTCCTTGCTTCCACGCTGAGGAGAAAGACCAGAGGAGAAGGAGAAGGATGTGAAATCCCATCCTGCTCCATGGGTAACCCTGGCAGACTGCTGCCAGAGAGAGTGGGCATTTATGCAATAGAGTGAAAAACGACAAGGGCTCATGCCCACCTGAGGTGTGAGGTCAGCTTTTGGGGGTGCAACCACTGCTGGCTGTGGGTGAGCTACTCTACCAGATACGCGCTAACCTCACTCACTTGAGCTCTCAGAATTGTTCCTACAGGCGAGAGGTCCCGAGGAAAGCCCACTCACCGTGCTGCTGCAGCCAGCAAAGCAGGCAGATAAGTATGTGACCCCGTCTGCCCCACAGACTGGAGTGAAGGAATCAGTTTGGCATTCACAGTTGTTATTGCAGGGGGAATATGGGTCCAGAGATGAGGTTGGAGTTGAGCTGTAAGAGAAGCAGAAAGAGAAATTAATGGACAGTGTGATGATATCAGCCAGCTTTTCCAGTCACTGCCTCACAAAAATGGCTTTGAGAGGTAGAGTTAACACACTACAAAAAAGCAGTGGGCAGGCTAGCTGGGTTCCAGCTTTAAGAAATCCAGGCTATAGCCTCTCCCTGGGGACTGAAATGCCATGGCCACTATCCCTCTGCAACAGGGAATCTAATGCAAGGCTTCAGCTGCCTTGTTACCCCAACAAGAAGCCCCAAGGAAGCCCAAAGAGATGATCTAGAGGTTGCTCTGTATTTTTCTATAATACTGTGAGGAGCTGAGAGGCTGAAGTTTTCATCTTCTAAAGAGTCGCCACTGCATACTGAGGAGCACTCGAAAAGAAAACACAGAATAACTGTCTCCAAATCCTGTGAGTGCTACAGGACACCATGGGCCTCATTTCTCACATAAAAATAGACCTAGAGCCACAAACAGTCTCTCTTCACCATATCTGTATTTCCAGGCATCCAAAAACTGATTCTACAAATTCCCCTCAGGCATTTAAATCAATGTACAAAGCAGTGCATGTCCCTCACTGGCAGTGGAAACCAGAGGGTGTGATGGACCAAGTGCTACACAGGTGGCCAAGGGCACAGAAGCAGGTCTGGTGCCTTTTGATTCAGTTTGATCGATTGTAGTAAAACTCTGTTGTCAGCTGCAGGTACTCAACTCTCACAGAAATGAGTGGCATGGAAACATTCCTAAGTAAGAGCCCTATATCACACTGCCTTCTGCATGCTTGCTCTGTGGTTGTCTGAGGGTCAGCACTGCCTGTCGAGGACAATAACATGGATTTATGTTGGTAAAGCTCTGTGAGACCTTGAAACTGTCTGGGGACTCACTTGTTTCCATAGGGAACAGTAACCCCTGCCACAGGCCCTGTGTCACATCCCAGGAACAGGAAAGACACGTAGCAAGCTGTGGACACCAGGTTCACCAGCATGGCCATCCTGATGGCTCCCAGAGCAGACAGGCTGAGCTTCTTCACCAAGAGGCCACCCAGGAATATGCCCAGACACGCACATGGGATTGCTGTCATCCCTGCAAGAGGAAAAATCAGTTAGCAAGAAGAATGAGTAAGGCTCAGTGAACTACACTATGACAGGGTTTTACTCTCCAGCAGTGAGATCTGTGCATGGGGAAACCTTGCAATGACCAACTGCTGGAGTAGCACCAAGCTGGGCTTGCCCAAAAAAGAAGGAATGGATAAAAATGGGTATGCTGCTTTGAACAGAAGGACCAGGACCTTCTTCCAGTTCTCATCCATATTGGAGGGAAATGCCAAACTTGCTGAGATTGGCCCAACCTAACCTAACCAACAGCATCTCCAATTCTTCCTGCAACAGTTGGCAGAAAAATAAAGAATCTTCCAAGCTGTCTAGCAGCTTTGGATGAGCCCTGCTTGGTATAATTCACAGCAGTCTGAACTTCAGAGACTAGGCAAGAGTTGCATTTGAAAATATGAAGTCTCCCTTAAAGAATTTTAAACTGTAAGATGCGAAATCACTGCCAGAAGCAACTCTGTTTCCAGACACAGAGAGGCATTATCATACTACGTTTATTTGCATTCACTTTTATACCTTTGCTGCCAGTGATACTCTAGATCTCACCTACCTAGACTAAGCTTAGAAGAGCATCCCAATCCTGGCATTTCTGGACTCCCCTAGATGTCACGTGGGGAATGTGGTAACAACTTTTTTTAATTAAGTTACTGTGAGAAACACAGAGGTATCAAAGTCTCCTTTCCCACTGTCAGGTCAGAAGCAGTACGTGCTCTGGTTCCCGGGTGATCCCTTCTTTGCTGCCCACCCAGCTGTACTCACATGTTGACTGCCCAGGCAACTCCCACCAAACAGCTTTTTTCCTTCTCCCAGTGGATCAACAGTGAAGTTGCTTTCCTTTGCCAAGCCTTTAATTTTCAGAAAAGATGGAAGACCCTAACATCTTTGAGACCTCTGGCCTTCTGTCAAAGCATATTAAAATTCACTAGCAAGTTCCGGTGTTGCTGGGGGAGGCAAGGCTGACTGCAGGGGATTGTTTCTTTTGGAAAACCAGGCCAAAACCAGAAAACATTGATGAGTTTAATAGGAAAATAAATAACTGTCAGGAGAGCAGCTTGCAAACTCCTTATTTTGATATTAAGATCCACCCATTTCCTGATGTCCCAGTTTTTGACAGATCACTGCCAGCTGCCCATCTGGCGAGCTATGGTTGCAGATCATCCAAGATCAACTTGCAGATATCTTAATTGGGTGCTGCTGAGAGAAGGGCTGTCATAAATAAATGGCTGGGCCTACTAAGGAATGAGCAGCAGCCGCAAATAAATGAAGATTCTGCCATCAGTGTCCTGACAGGGAACAAATGAACATTGAGAAATATATAAATGGGAAACTACAGCAGCATGGAATGGTCAGAGAAAAGGGGCATTTGAAAGACAACTAAGCTTCACTAGCTCAGGTTCTTTAACTGCTGATGGCAATCCCATTATTTCCAGGCCAAGGGGAAAGGTGTGACTAACAGGAGAAAATGGGCTTCCTAACTCAAATGGAGGTGGGATGGAGAACTCTGGCGTACCTGAACAAGCAATGGGCTGCTCAGTCAGAGAGTAGCCTTGGGCAACCAAATGGTTCAATTCTGCTGTATTCAAGGCTATCAGAGACTTTCATATCCTGTCTGTCCCATACCACTTCCGACACGATGGGCGTGGCTGCAGGGGAAGCAATGGCAGCAGGATGCAGTGGAGAGCACAGTCATGAAGGAAGGATGCTGGAGGTCTACTCTGTGCTCTGTAGCCACGGCACAGCTGGATCCCACCCTCCCCGCTCACGGACACATTTCTAGATGTCAGAAAAGTCACTTTTTGGGCAGCCTAACCAGAGAAACTTGGTGCAGTTACCAGCCATGCTGAACACTTTTAAATACCTTTGGATGCTGGAGATTTGGTGGCCCCTGTGGTTACTCACCCAGGAGCTGGTTGGCAGATGAGGTGGTGAGGTTGAACTGCTGCTCCAAGTACTTTCCAAGGAAGGCGGCGAATCCGGCCACCACCGCGATCTCCATGCAGGCTGCCAGGATGATACAGGTGAAGACGGGATTGGAGAGCAAGTGCCTAGTTACTTTGGGGATCACTAGAAGAGAGGAAAAAGGGAGAGATGTGTTTGTGTAGACTTTCCTTGAGGTGCTGGAGGTGCCTTTCTGCTCTCCTGAAGGGCAAACTCACTTCAAACCAGGAGGAATTTACTGTCTGCACAGACAAGCTGGTTAAAATGTGGCAACACCAGAACAAAAGGAAACACCCAAACAGTGACATCTAAAGATTCAGATATCAGAATGGTGAAAAAGGAAGTAACCTGTTGCTATCATGGAATATTCTGAGTTGCAAGGGATCCACAAGGATCACTGAAGTCCAACTCCTGGCCCTGCACAGGACAGCCCCAAGAAGGACACCTGAGAGGGAAGAGGACATGCTGAGCTGTTCACTGTGTAGGATGAACACACACGTGGCTTTGGTCTCATGATCCCTTGGCTACCCCCTCCCAAATCATTAGCGTCCAGAGTCCTCTCTCCTCCAAGCCTGTCTCAATTTCTGATAAGCAAACATGAGTTACCTTACAAAGGGAAATCAGGCTAATGAATCAGATCGCACATTTTCTACTTCAGCGAACATTTTAATTATTGTCAAGATAACACAGCTTGAAGAGGAGAGGATCCCAGTACAGGAGAGAGCCTTGCTTTGTCTCCATACCTGATGACTAATTTCTTCCTGAATTAAATGTGAAAATCATTAAGTTTGAAAATTACCTTGCTGAAGTGTAGTGAGGCCTCAACGGACCTCTATTTGCATTTTGAAAATCCATCCCCCACATCCCCCATGGTGTACCAGGGTTTGGCAGATGACATTTCTCTGGTGTTGGCTTCTGTTTTCCCTTAGGGCTTTTTTTGCATTGGCCTCAGCAAGACAATGCACAGCTCACTGTCAAGGCTCTGTTTGGGTGCCCTTGGTTCTTTCTTGGGGAAAGGGGAAAAAAGGGTTATAATTAGGTTAGATCTAATATTTTTGGAAGGGGCCACTCCACAGTTTCTGGTCTCTTTATATCACAAATGTTTTTCCATGCTGTATAAAATTCTTGCTTCCTGAGGATTTGCTGAACATAATGAAGGTACAAGAGGCATAGCAATTTTTAGTAGAACCAGGGGGGTAGGGGGAGGAAGGAAAAAATACTCTGTGGGAGGAATGGGGATGGGGGAATTCAGACATGGATAAATTTCAGAAGCCACCTGCTGCCTCCTTCAGTTCTTTGGTGGCCACCTACAGAATTTTCCCTTCTTGCCAGGAAAAAGATAGAAAATGCAAAGGTAGACTTGGCAGTGCTGAGCTTGAAAAGCCATATTTAAGGTATTAATGCCTGTTGTGCCTCTGGAGTTCAGCTTGTTCAAGATTAATGGATTCCTCAAGATGTAGCTTTGTGCCAATTCAACTCCAAAGACACAAAGGTCTACTTCTAACTTTATCCACCAAATAATAGTGATGACAGCCTGCCTTTTGCAGGAGGGAGTTAAAGATCACGCACATTTATTTCTGAAGTTGGCAAGGCTGGTACCCAGCCATCATGCAGTACCAAGGTCAAAATCCATCTTCTGTGCTTGGGGTGGACAGCGAAAATTTTGCAGAGTTATTGCACCGTCTCACACAAGAGAGGAGCCCCTTGTGACTGCCTTGCCTGGCAGTGCTGGGCTACGAGTCACATCACTTCATCACCTAAAGGGGCTACAAGAGAGCTGGAGAGGGACTTTTGACAAGGGCATGTAGTGATAGGACAAGGAGTAATGGCTTTAAACTGAAAGAGGGAGGAATTTGATTAGGTATAAGGAAGAAATTCTTTACTGTGAGGGTGGTGAGACACCGGAACAGGTTGCTCAGAGATGCTGTGGATCCCTCTGGAAGTGTTCAAAGCCAGGTGGGACAGGGTTTTGAGCAACCTGGTCTAGTGGAAGGTGTTCCTGCCCATGGCAGAGGGGCTGCAATGAGATGACCTTTAAGGTCTCTTCCAACCCAAAACATTCTGTGATTCTATGATTCCATGATCATTGCATCTCCTCCCTGTGAGTTTTCTGGGACAGAACCTGCCTCCACTGCCTGTTTGATCACTGTCTACTGCAACAGGTCTCTGTACCAGCAGGTAGGTGTAACACAAAACCCAGTGCACAGACAACTCAAACAATGCCTGGCAGCCTCCACCATCTCCTCAGCCAGGGCCAGCTCATTCCCTTTCATCTTCTAAGGGAAATGACAGGAGGCTCCCCATAAAAATGAATATACTTTCATCTTGCCGCTGTCATTTGTTAAGATCAATCATTTGACACCTGCTGCTGCCTTATCTGTCTCAGTTCTTGGGGTGAAATACCTCTGGGAACAAGATTAAAAGTCAGCAGTGAAGTTTAAAAATCTCTCAATAGACTAGAGTGACACAATTTCAGCTGCCTGGCATATGGTGCTGGGTATAGAGGGGGAATGGAAAATGTCTGATGGGGGACAGTGAAGCCCTGGGGAACACAACAGCTAAGGATGTCACTTCCTCACTGGAGCCGATCCCAGTAGAAGTCATGATAAACATTTGAAGGACATCTTCTGGGATCAGCTCCAGCGAGGAGGAAAGGTCTTTTGGAGCCAAAAGAGTCTCAAAAATCTACTTGGAGAATGCAAAAACTGTGCCGACAAGGCACAGGTAGACTCACCCTCCCACTCTTGGAAGGACCAGCTCATTTAACATCCTTATCTTAATGCACCTGATACGCTCCAGAAATGATGGCAGAAAAGCAATTCTTACTGGCACTGCAAGATACACTGAAAAGAACATGACACCTCTTTTTACTGCTGAAGTACTTTAACCCCAACTCTTCAGACCGTTCACGTGTGGCATCGGTCATAGGATCATCCACAGATTGGAAGGGACCCAGGCAGACATCCCAAAGCTCTGCAACACCCCCACCAATCCCACCTTTTAACACTCAACACCCATGCCAAGGCATCAAGCATCCTCCCTGTCTCCCACAGTGGGGCTGCTGTGGGTGACAGGCCACGGGCTTGACAAACACACACACTTATGTGCACCAAGTAGCTCTGATTTGTCACTGCACATCGGGGAGTACCGGGGATAATTGGCAACCTCATTACATGAGGTTTAACTACTCTCCAGAAACGACAAACTATAATCATCACGTTGGTGCTTGAAATGAATTGTTTGGAACATTACAATCACCAAGGCCCCTGTTTCTGGTTGGAGCACCCTACAGAGACGTGTTTTCAATTTGCAGTAAAGATGAGGAACACAGAAAGCAAAGTAATAAATTAGAGAGAGGTTTACAGCCCAGTCCACATAGGACAGTGCGGTGACAGAATGGCAAAATGCAGCATTGAGCCAAAATACAACTTTCTACTACCAATGTCAACAGCAAGCCTCAGGTCTGAATACAAAACAAAAGGCAAAATCTCCACCTGACTTGAGGAAAAGGGATGAAGCAAAATAGCATAGGCAACAAGACAAAAATACATTCTGGAAAGAGGTAGCTCCTGTAGAAGAGAAGATTGAGTAAGGCAAGAGGTGCTGAAAGTATCTCAGGTCAGTTTGACATGCTGAAGTCCATGTGGCCTAGGCAAAATTATCATGAAGCATATGAAGGAAAAGGATGACACCTATGTCAAAAAGCTTTCCTGACAAGATGCAAGCTTGAAGCAGCAGTAACCCTGGAAAGCAGATCCTTATAGTCCATCAACCTGCCTCCAGCAACCACCTTTGCTCCACTTCAGAGGAGGACATAAACCTGCCTCACCTGAGACACAAAGGTCATGGCAAGGCATGGTATCTTTTCAGAGACATGCCTTTGGTCCCAAGGCGTGCAGGCTGAAGGCCTTTCTGAATTAATCAAAGGTGCTGAAAACAAGGACACTGGCTTGGAAAGAGCCCAGAAGAACCAGACAACAATGCCTCATGAAAAGCAAGCCAAAGGAAACGCGGAGACTGATGGGACCTGATGTGTTTTATGATCACCCACCACCCTCTCACCTAGGCCTTGGATTTCTCAGCAAGCTTTTTAGATGTTGGTAGAGGGACAAGACCCAAATCCAAGAAGGCATTAAAATCTTGGTACCTGCCGAGATCTGGGCCAAAGACTCATCACTGCAGGAAGGTACAGAGGGAGTTCTTTCCAAAAGGTTGCCGCTATCACTCATTAGTCACAAGTTTAAACTGCTCCTGTTACCCTTTATCCCACCCAGTACTATGAACTCTCACAGAGGACTACAGGCTCTCCATGGCCCAGGCCCTCCATGCGCAGCTGGGAGCCTCTGGCTCAGCACTACATGTCTGCTCCCAGAGAGCACTTTTTGGGAGAGAAAACCTGGATTCAGAGCAGCTCCCTCCCTAGGTATTCAGCAGCTTGGTACACAGAGCAGGAAGGAACTGAACAGAAGACAAGACAGCTGTCAGCTGTACATCCCAGCTCTCCTACACTCTTCAAAACGAAGCTGAAGAGAAACCAAAATGTTTCCAAATCTAGGGAATCTGCAGTTTTGAAATGCATTTAATTCCACAGTGAGCTTTCTTTTAATTCCTTGTGAATGAGCTTCTCTCTTGAAACCTGAAGTATTCCATATCAATTTCAATCCTTTTAGGGTTTTAATCTCTCTTGCTAGACAGACAGGCAGAATGTAACAAATTTCTGGTTTAAATAATTGCAAAACAAAATGTATTTAGAGTAGAACATTTCAGGGGTGTTAAAGACCAAGCCAAGGAAGCATTCTGAAATCAAATGTCATCAGAACTGAACGGTCAATTCAGTAGATGTGACATTTCTGTACGAAAAGAAAGGATTTTAACAAAATATTTCCAAGCACGTTGTAGAGCAGGTGGTGGGTTAGAGGCAGCATGTTAACACCGAGTAAGAGGGCAGATGTTGGACTTACACAAGCAGAGGGCACAGGTGCCCTGACACCGAGCATCGTCTCCGACCCCAAACAGCAGAGAGGTCCCCAAGGCAGACCAGAGGTAGGAAAGCAAAGCTGTGGCCCCCAGGAGAGCAAGGACTACCAGAGCCCATGCCTGAAGTGCTTTCACAGACCACACAAAGAGTCTGGGGCTGGAACAACCCTTCCAGGCTGCCAGGCAAGAGCAGAGAGCAATGGCAGCATTTATCCATCCTTTCCCTGCTATTAATCCTTCACTTCACTGAGTTCCCAAATGGATTTGCTTTGCTTAACTGAAATACTAGTCAGGAAAAGCAGTGCAGCATTCACATGCCAATTCAACAACAGGAAGCAGCTCCCAGGACCGTCCCAAAGCTTTCCTGCCCAAGCTGCAGAGCCCCTGTGCAGAGCAGCCGTGGCAGCCCCCCGCCGCCTCCACTGCCTTTGATTGCCTCTTCACCTCGTGCTGTTCAAAGGCACCACTTTTCTTTCAAGTTTGAAGCTCCTCTTAAGGATGCTACTTTCCCTGGCATGAAAATACCCCACAGGAAGAGATGCTATGGCTTCCCCCAAAGCTGGGCCCTCCCTCCTGCTTAGACCTTGAGAGAGATGTAAAAGATCGATACTTTCAGAGAGTTCTTTTTATATAAGTCCTAGAGTTTTCTGCGTGCTAAGGCTAGAGAAAGCCAAGGAATCTCAGCCAGCCCTGCATCTCACTGACTTTCAGCAGATCTTGTAGTGTCTCGAGCATCCTCCCACGTGCCAGCCGTGCCGTGTCACTGGCTGACAGCCGTGACCCGGCTCGGAGCATGTCCCCAGCTGACACCACCCTGCTCCCTCTCCTACCATGTCCTCCCTCTTGTGGCAGTCACTGCAAGGCTTGGAAAAAATATGGAAAAAAAGCAATAAAACCCCTTCAATAGCCCAAAAGGAGATGCAGCCTCTAAACCCCTAAGGATGCTTTGTTGATACAAGGGGTATTCACACAATCAGTCCAGAGAAACAACTCTTCCTCCCCACACTTGCCCAAGAGATGGACAATCCACACCTCCATTCAGACACAGACTTACAGCAGGCACAGCCCCACCCAGGACAAGCTACAGACACAATGCTTGATAGAAATGAAGTCAGTTATGGCCATACTAACCCCAATGAGCATCTCCACCCCCAAACCCACGCACAGGTAAATCCTCTGCTGTTGCCCAGAGAAGCTCTGGATGTCCCATCCCTGGAAGTGTTCCAGGTCAGGTTGGATGTAGCTCTGAGCAACCTGGTCTAGTGAAAGGTGTCCCTGCCCATGGCAGTGGGGTTGGAACTAGATGATCTTTAAGATCCCTTCCAACTCATGTCATTTTGTGATTCTATGATCAGCATCCCAAATTCATGTAAAGCCCAAGGCCCATATTAGGACAGAAGACATGACTATGCATGCACAAACATATTTTTAGCCTCTGTATATAAATAAGAGTCCTTCTTATCCTAGGAAAAAGACTAAACAGTCTAACTTTCCCCAAAGGAAAATACATGCAATTGACAAATAGATGAGGGATATTAGGTCCTGCCACACAGGAATGCATATAGATATTTCATGTGCTAGCAAAATAATGTATATCCACAGAAAGATTAAACCATCACCTGAAACACCATTCATCAGGAATGATGAGGTGTGTTTGCCTTCCCTTATGGAAGGTGTCTGAACATTTCCAGGCAGGCACTTTAGGAACACGACTCTTGACCACATTCCAACTGTGACAATAGTGGCAAGGGACTTAAAAGGAAGTGTCAGCTACCAACACCGTGTCATCTGTGACAGCCTCAAAGGAATAACTAAAAAGGTCATTCCTTGTCTTATTTGATGTGATATAAATTATATTTCAAAGTCCATCTACAAAGAGACTCCTCCAATACTGACAGATCCAAAATGGGGTTACCTGCAACGAGAGTACTAATGTGGAAGACTGTAGTGCCTCCTGATGTAATCAATACTTGAAGCATATGGATGTGGCAGCTTAATTTCTCTACTTCAATGAGCAACAGATGCTCAATGAACCCCGCTATGGCCTCCCTGCGTGCAAGATGCTCAGCACCATCCTTAGGCTGAACTGCTGTCTCTCCATGCAGCAGGGATATGTCATACTTTCCTTCTTGTACATGAACACCTGCAAAAATTTCCAATGCCCACTCCAAAAGCTCAGTGGCCAGAAGCAGACACTCTGGTGTATACACAACAAAAGACACAGAATTATCCACATGGACATACCATGGGAAAAGCCCATTCCTCAAAACAGAGAAAATCCTTGCAACAAGGATGAAAGGACGAAGAAATTAATTTTACTGACAAAGTTTCAAACAATTTATCCCTTTACCTTTCTTTTGAATTTTCTCAACAAGTCAAAATTTCACATCTTTGACCTTCCATTAATGAACAACTACATCAACTATTCAAGGCATTTTTATGTTTAGAAAATATTTTTTTTCCCCAAAGTCTCTTCTTCCTTCCCACCTGTACCTCATTTCACTCCCAGTTTATCTAAACTCATCAGGCAGTAATGAAACCCGCTCTGCCACAGCGACAGGGAGTGGGAAGCAGCCACCAGCGCTACGGAACCACCCTCTCAGATGAAGGATTTTCTAGTGCAGCCTACAGAAAGGAGATCTGCCCATACTCTCCCACGAAATGCTGGATCCTCAGTTGACTTTAATTAGTCAGCTCCATTTCTATCACTGCAGGACATGATGTGGGATTTTCTCTCTAATTTGCTACAAGTGATGCTCTGCCCTGTCATATTGCTGCTATTCTGGGCTGATATCTACCTCTTCCCCATTCCAGTTTAAGAGCTGTGGTGATGCCCAGCACTGATCGCTTTGTATCTGGGATTGCACTAATCTGTAGATCAGATGCTGGGAGCTCCCAATTTCTTTTTATTGCCCTTGCTGGCTCACTCTCCACTTCAGGAGGCAGAGGGGAGCAGGACAGTAGACTGGAGAGAAGATCACAAATTGCTCTGGCAACTGTATTCCCCTTCATTTTTTTATCAACTCCACAGGACTATCGTGCATTTCTGTAGCTTTGCAGTTAAAAAAAAACAAACCACAAAGCTTTCAAGTGGAACAAGGTCTCTCTTTCAAATGAGGACAATGCCAGAGATAATTACAAGCGAGGGATTGAAATTTCAGGATAGTAAATTTTTTTTGGAATTTCGGAGATAGAGGTAGACAGCCCAAATATCAGAGACCAATTATAAACCCAACCAGCTGTTAACCTGTCGCTGATCCCCACGGAAAACAGGACGAGAGCCAGTGTCTCACCTCGCAGCTGCTGGAAGCAGGTCGTGCTGCTCTCCCCATCCAGCGGGTGCCGCAGGACCCCGTTGCTCGGCTTGGGCCTCTCGTATTCCCGCTCGGGAAGCATGGCCTGCTCGCTCTCCCCGGCGTGCTCCGGCCGCGGGGGCAGCGACTGCGGGAACCCGAACATCGGCAGGGACGAGAAGAAGAGTAAGGCACCACACAGCAGGAAGCCTCCCCACCACGCACCGATCCACCGAGGGTCGTCCGGGGTTATGTCCAGCTTACCTGCGAGGGCACACATGGGTCAGTGGCTTGGCCACGGGGAGGGGAAGACAACAGTGTGACGATGCTGTAGGAAGACAGTTGCTGGGGGCTTTGTTGGCTGTTAAGGGATACAAGACACAAGGTGGGGGCCTGCAGTCCACCCCACACCTGTATTGTGTGAGCCACCACTGTGTAATGACCTCCAGGTCCAAGAGATCCTTAGCTCCTATCACCTTTTCTATCTGGATGGTACATCCAGCTTCTGCAACACCCTGTAATCAGAGCTTCTCTCCAGTGTCTTGGCTCTGCCAGCTCTAGGAAGATACCATACACACATCAGTGTCCCCTGTGCTGGCACCAAGGTTTTGGACATGCCTGTCTCAGCGTGTCACCTGTGCACACACAGCTGACACACCTACTGATCTGCACAGAGCACCAGGAGCGCAGACAAGGACGTCGCATCTCCATCCTGGTCTAATCCTTTTTCCCAGGAGGTCAATGCTCTCCCAGCTTTGAATTCACGGCCCTTTTCAGCAAAAGACAGATGGGCATTTAGATGGGCATTAGGGGCACCTGTGGAGGGTGAAACAACCCTAAATATTGAAAAAGAAACTCACCCGCTGTATCAAATGGGCTCGGGAATGTAGAGAACTAATCAGAAAATGAAGAAAAGCAAAGTAAAAGGCAAGAGTATCCTGTAGACCATCACTCAGCAGAGATAAGGCAAAAGAAGGGTCTGGAGTCAGTTTAGGGGAACAAAAATAAACAGCAGCACACAAAAAGCTGTGTCCCCAACTCGCTGTGCCTCACTGCCACAGCCACAAGGGTGCCCAGTGCCTGAGCTGACTCCTGGGGGAGACCCAGGTCCACGTGGCTGGAATAACAAGCTCCTCTGTTCATGATGTCTGTCTGGTTACTGCCACTCTGAAAAATCTGTCTCAAGTGAGGCAATCAAGTTGTCTCTCAAGCAGAGATAGAAGGAAACTCTTTTCTCCTAAGGGAAAATAACATGTAGCTCTCAAATACAGATAAAGTTTGAAAAATAGTGTTGTGGAGGGACTGGATTCTTCTGCTATTATTTTCTCCTGCCTGAAGTGCATTTTTTTCACGATCTTGGGAACACAGCACTGCGAAGAGCCAGGTAAATCAAGGTGTTCTTCATATTCCCTTCCTAAAATAGCTCCTGTATGGAGGTCAGTACATCAGCATACCCTGGCATCCCACACCTGCCCAAAACAGGGAGCAGGATGAGGCTCAACCTCGTGCCACCTTGAGCTGCAAAGCAGATCCAGCTGCAACATGGAAGCTCCCATACAAAAATAGACAGAGGCCATGTGTGCCCCAGCCTTCGCATGGCAGCAATGGACCATGGCCAATGCCAGCTGGACCTGCAGCTGGAAAGCACTACAACCACCCTGTAGGTGGCTGAGCCACAGCCTCTCTGTGTTCTCAGTGATAAACACTCCACTGCTCTCCTCTGTGGCTCCATATTTTTCTGGTGCTTTTTGAGGTGTAAATACGGAGCAATGTCTCGTATTAAAAATTACCAGAAGACATCAAATTAACTTTTTAGCTAGGCCAGCATCTTGCTCTGATGGTAACCAGCTGCAGCTGCCCAGAAAGTCCACAAGAATAAAGTCAGCATATACTTGATATTATTCTTGTGATTTGTGGCTCGGGGGCTTTATAAGCTAGATTTTATCATGTTCATTTTTTCTTCTATAAACTTGTCCCATTGTTTTTGAATCCATTTGTAAATTTTTAACACTTCATGGTGAAGAGTTCCACAACTTCACCTCCTGGGAGAGGAAATATTTTCTTCTGTACACTCATATTTTAGTGTAAATTATACTTAATGGTCAAATATCTAACAGGGTTCAAACAAGCTTCTCTGCCTACAGAACCAAAAGAGGCTTTGTTAAAGCCAAGGAATGAAAAGGGGCCAGTGGTGTTTGAATCAAACTGCAGCCAAAAGTCTCAGCCATCAAAAGAAGATACTCCTTTTTCATTTGATATTATTTAGATTTCTTCAGCTGCCATGTCTATGTGAGACCAAGAAAAGGCAGAAAAGAAAAGCTCTTTCTCAGATTTGCACAATTCTGTTCTGAGTTCTGTGATCATGTATTTGCAATATCACAGAGCTGAAATGCACCCTCAAAGGGGACAATACCCATGCAGAAGGATCTGGAGGATTCGACAGAGCTGTGAAAAAGCATCTGAATAACTGAGGGAAAAAAAAAGCATCAGGTTTGCAGCCAGAGGGCTGAGGGAGCAGTGGAGAACTGCCTGTTACATAGTGCCCTCTCATGGCAAAGAACACATAGTGCAGGTACGAGTAAAAGAATTTGCAGATTTTTGTCTTAATGAACAAAAAGTCAATTTACAAACAATCTGATTTAACCCAAGTGCAGTCAAGGTGAGCAATAATTAGCACAGCTTTAGGAAGAAGGAATAATACTGTGGGACTGAAGTAGGGTCATTGGCAGAAGGTGCTGGGCATGGGTCTTACTGGTGTAGCTCCACCAGAACCTGGATGGTTCCCACAGGTTCTGGGGTGGCAGCTCTCCAGATTTCATCCTGTGCTCTGGACACAGCTCCCCTGGCATGACTATGTGCATGGGTAGCTGTCTGCCCTGCCACAGTGATATTTCAAGGTGTCCTCTAAGAGCTGGGTGAACCTCATCTCACCGCAGAAAAACCAAAGGAAGAGAACAATTTTTAATGACTACAAACCTGTTTATCAGAACAGAGCTGAAAACTTTTGAATCCCAGTCATAAAACCCCTCTAAAAGTGACACCCATACATGCAGGAGGCACTCAAGATGGAACAACAGGCAGTTTCCTGCTTGTGAGCATCAACATCCTCCTGGCACAACTTTAGTGTATTTGATTTGATTTTCTCCTTACTTGTGTCAATGAAGACAGCATCCACATAGATTTTGGTACAGAAGGAGCCCAATATAAATCCACAGGCTGGTCCAAATACCAGCATAGTAAACAGGATCCCTACAAGGAGAGAGAAAAGAAAAAAATTAGTACTAGGCACTGGTTATTCATTGCAAGTGGTTTTGCTTGTCTCCTGCAAGATGCAGGATGCCAAATAGAAGGCATCCAAACAGAGACAAAAATGTCTCTGTATTGAGTGCTTCAGGCAAAAGAGCACCTTAAATGTCTTCTGCTCTTCCATATCTCTTCAGGAAAAAGAACAGATGGAGGTGTGATAACGCTTATGGATTTCTATTGAGCTGAGGAGACAGTGTGGACATAATGCTGTGTTTTGGTCAGCTGGCTACTCTAAAAGGTGTCTGTCTTACCCAAAAGCATGAGATGAAGCAGACCTGCCTTCCATGGGGAAATCTTTGCCTTTGCCACCTCTGGCTAAACTCCTGGTAGGCAGAAGTTTCAGACTTTAGGGCCAGCAAATCTATGAAATGAGCATTGTCACAGCTGGCTAGATAAAGTCCCTTTACAGAAGTAGGAGCACTTTTCCAAATCCATGAATCCCTTCTCCCCATGATACCCACATGGCAAATATTCCCCAAGGCACATGGCTCTTCCAGCCTCTTACAACGGCTCACTCCCCCTGCAAAACCTGCATGAAATTACCACTCTAATGCCAAAAGAAGAGCTATTATGAGTAAATTAGTTATTTGCTTCAATACAGTATTTAGAAGCATTTATTCTCACTCCCATTTTGGCCTTGAAACAGGAATGTTACAGGCACACTGCCAGCTCTCAATTATCCAGGGCAGAAAGGCAGGGGGACACAAGGATAATCCAGAAACAGAAGCAGCAAAAATAACACAAAACATTTGTAAATTAGACAATAAGAACATATTTGATACCTTCACATTTGGGATAATAACAACATCTAGGAAAAACAACAGAAAATCCCCAAGGACCCTTGTAAATAGCTTTCTGAAGGAAGCAGAGACAAGGTCTGGTCAGCGCAGAGCACGAGCCTGCTTGTTCCCTCTGGGGCAAGACAGTGCTGATGGATCCCTGTGCCTGGCGAGGGGGGCAGCCTGTGCTGGCACCAGTCTTGGTGTCACTGCACTTCAGAAACGGCCCATGAAGGAGCTTATCTGCATCTGGGTGCTTTTCTCACTCTCCTTCGGGGTACATCCCACATCTCCCTCCAAATCTCTCCGGGGGTGCTGCCTGGCATCTCAGTGCATCCATAATGCACTTCATCTCAGCTATCTCAGCCCTCAGTTTCCTTATCTGGAAACTTTTAATTCCCAAGTTCTTTCTCTGTGCATTTCTCAGGAGCTGGAGAAATTACCAGAACTGCAAAATATTCCCAGGAGACCACCAGCCCTACACAAGGCAAACCACATCTGCTGGTGACGGCTCAGTCAAGCAGAATAAGCTGGTATGGTCAGAAACAACTGCACCTTCATTTTTAAAATGCAGGGTGCAAATTAATTCCTCCAAATTAATTGTTGGCACTGGGACCTGGCTGGATTAGTAACTAGGTACAAAGCAGCAGTGCCTCCAGCCAGCTGCTCACACAGAAACCCAGCGTGTTAATGCCTTCATGGCTCTCATCACCTACAGCAGCAAGAGGGGGAAACAAAGGTGCTGGAAGGAAAAAAAGTGACAGGTTGTATGAGCCACAGTAAGGAGTCACTGTCAGTGCAGCAGCAAGAGCTGCCACCCCCTGCCCTATTTCAGCCAAGCTCAAAGCTGCAGCAATGGCACTGTGTGGCAGCCGTGCTGCCAGCTTAAATTAGTCCCTAGAGTCTCTGCCCATGATGTCCATGTCACTAGTGAACCAGCCATCTGCAGTCACCTTGTCCTGGGGTGTTGGGTTTGTGTCCCATAATCCAGCAGTAAATTAGGGAATTTGTGCTCCTTGAGCATCAGAGCTGGTTAGGAAGCCTGTGCTTGTTCCCTTGGGTATCTATAAAGCCTTATGTGGGAGATCCCAGTCCCCAGTTACATGCAGAAGCACTTCGTGGAATGTGAAATGAGGGAAGAGCTGGAGACAGAAGATAAAAAGGGATTTTTTTTTTTTCCCAGCACCATTTCCCAGCATCATTTGCCTCCTTCCCAGCCCCCAAGGGCAGCCTCACTTGGGGCTACAAGATTTCCAATGGCATTTTATAAAATATCCAAACCAAAATAACAACAAAAAAAAATTGTCACCTTTTTTTTGGTCACTAGATGGCATTAGTGTTTGTCATTCAGCCCACAAGTGCCACGTGGAGCAGGCTGGGTGACAGTGCTGCTCATCCCGGCTCCCCCGACATGACGGTGTTCCTGGGGGTCTCAGAGCCCCTGGGAGGATGGCAATGACAACGGGGCACTGTCATCACCCACGTATTTGCCACGTGCACAATAAGGTTGTGCCCTTTCCCTGTCTGCAAGCAGGAAATCACAGGTTTTAGAACTGTTCTAAAACTGTTAAGTTTTTAGTCAAAGAGCTTTAAACAGACAGCATCTAGAAGAGATGGCCATGGCTACTACTGTGATGAACAAGCCAGCAATCAAAGAGCAGGTTAATCTTTGATGTCTGAAGATTAGTTATGAATTTCTACACAATTATGGTCAAGCACATAAGGACACATCGGTTGGGGCAGTGACAAACAGAGCCCATGTTTTGGATGAAGAGCCCTTGGACTTCAGGACTCCCGACATTGCTTTGCTCTTATTTCTCTGCCCTAGAATATATAAAGGAAAGGAAAGTTCAGGCACACCCGAGCATCTCCTCTTTCCCAGACCCAGATCCTCAGCCCAGACCCTGGTATCCAGCACCCAGAGCTGTCTGAGGGTTCACATCCACAGGGATGGCCCCTCAAAGCACCCTGGGCTGCAACGGGTTCCCACATGCACCAAGGAACCAAGGGGGCTGCTGAGCTGCTGTGTCACTGCCCTGATGGGACCTCTGTGTGAGTAAAAGGACTGTGTGACCATCAGACAGCTGATCTGGGGCACCCAGGAGTGGCCAGCTCTGGGCCCCACAGGGCAGGTTTACGTGAGACCTTGCATGACCTGCACTCCAGAGGCAGCAGATATTTGGTTCCCTGATTTTGGTTTTTTGGTTTGTTTTGGTTTGTTTGTTTGTTTTGGGGGTTTTTTGGTTGGTTTTTTTTTTGGTTTTTTTTGCTTTTTTTTTCCTTAGTTTAGTTTTAAAAACTTATTACTGGTTGATGACTTTCTGTGTTTAACAGCTCTATAAAACTGGGAACACACCAAAATTGTCTTGTGGCACCAACGTGTCTTGTCACACAGGTGAAGGCAGAAGGACAAGGCCAATTCCAATCCTCTACACATCACTTCTGGATGCCCCAGTGTTGGGTTAAAGACGGATGGAATTTTGTCCCATGATGATCTCCAAATCACAGGCAAAACCACAGAACTGGAGTATGTTCATGGAGCAAAGAGTAAGACAACATGAAAAAAGATCATCCTTCACCAAACCGTCCCCAGGGAATATTTTCCCCTTTTCCCAAAGCAGAAGAGAGCAGAGACCTGTGGCTGGTGATCCAGCAGCAGCAGGGAGATACTTGCAGAGGCAGATAGCTCAGATAAAGCAAATGTGCTTTATTATATAGATAAAGCTGCAGCCAGTGCACGTACAGGTGACAGTGCAGGTGACAGATGAATTCTGCCCCTCCTCACACAGTTGTATCACAACACCACCACAGAAACGAGCTGTTACAAGGCTTGAGAAACAAGCTCAGTTATTAAAATACCACATTTCATATCCTGGTGGCTGCAAGAAGGCATGATTTGCTCTGCAATGTCCTCACTAGAGGGCAATGTGGGATAGAGGATCCAGCAATACACCTATCTAAGACCTTTTAAAAGCTATTAAATTATTATTCACCTCTAGGTTAGCTTAAAAACCCCTCATGTTAATTGTGTTTTTTTCTTATCCTATAGTTTGTCCTAAAATCAAGAAAGTAACTGTCTCACCCCATGCCCTTTGTGTTACCTTTTTTTGAGACTCCAACAAAATCCTACTGTTAAAATATTAGTATTTTACGCTTTAATTCACAAATCAAGTAGATTGTGGAAAAACAATGGACAGTCTGTACAGAGCAGGACTATGCTCAAGGATCAACAGAGCATGCTACTGGGCACGAGAATTAGGCTATTAGGCAATTGGGATAGTGCCTGTGGTTGAACATTTATGTGGAATTGAGGACTCAAGGGGAAATTAAGAAAGTTAGAATTAGCTTAAGACATCCTTCCTCTTTCCAGAAATTCTGCACAATGGCTAGTCACTCCCCCTTATTGGGAAAACACTTTCCACATCATCCACCTAGTCATGCAACCACAAAGCTGCTGCTTAGTAGAGAAAGAGATCTTGCAAAACCTCTCTTCCCAGTCTTGAGGTTGCTGCTAAGGATAAAGATGGGGCCAGCTTTAATACCACTTGCTCGATCTTTTCCCATGTTTCCCTCTAACTTTTTTAGATCAGTCAGATTTGATAGAGCCAGAGGTCAATAATACCAGGAGTAAACAGATCAAAGATCCAATCCCAGCTCCACCAGCCTCTTGGGAAACTCCAATAAAACCAGTAATCAGTATAGGTACAGCAATTTGGTGGTATTTTTATTTTTAATCTTAGAGTATTTTCTTTAATTCTTAACAAATAATGGTAATTCTTAGAAATACTCTAGAAATGCAAATTAAAACCCAAACTGACTCTGCCTTAGGACAATTGAAACATTTTGTTTCATAACTCACAAATACTTCCTTTCAGTTTGGGTCCTTTAAAAACATGATTACATTTTAATTTCAAAACAACTAATAATTTTCAGCCTACTTGCTCTATCCCCTTCGTCAATCTCCCTGCCTCCCAAAAAGGCAGGGGAAAAAAGGCAGCAAGCCAGGCTGGACTGAGAAATCAGAAATATTTTCTTCCCCATCTTTTCAAATAGAACAATTTGCCAAATCCTACTTTGTCTTGTCAACTAACACTTTCCAGGGGCTGAGGAAAGGATTGGGACAGAGGGGAGTATTAGATCTGACATTTTGTGATGAGATTTTAT